AGAGAGAGAGAGAGAGAGAGAGAGAGAGAGAGAGAAATAGAGAGACAAACACAGAGAAAGAGAGAGCAAAGAGAGCAGAGAGAGAATGAGAATGGGACATAGTAAACTGTCCCCGTTCAATGTATGTATAAAGCCATGACATACCCGCCTAGTAAAGCAGTGTGGAGATTCTTTCTGAACACATGATTCAGCAGCCATCCTGGCATACCCCCGGGCAACGGCTTTTCATACCAAACCCTCAACTCCATCAATGCTGCAGCAGCCTCCAACTGTTCTCTGAAAAAAAAGGTCATTTTTTGTTGTTGTTTTTTATGCTTACATCATCTCTCATACATTTTGGACTTTATAATATGTCTTTCATTTCATAAGTTCGCATTTTAGACTTAACATACAAAATCAATACAGTCGAAAATGTCTTAGACAGCCACCCTTGCCCGACAGAAAAGTGGCTGTCTTAGATAGGTGGCCTTCTTTAACAGTGTCATTATAATATATTTTTTTTTAATGCAAGGGAAGAAATGGGAAGTGGCCGTTCCTACAGGTGATTGTCTTATACAGGTGGCTGCTAAGAGCAGGTCTGGATGTATTTTGGACTTTATAAAAAGGTCTTTTACTCCATAAGCTTAAATTTCAGATTTTGCAAATTTAATTTAGATTCTTTAAAACAACTAAAAATAGGAAAAAATTGATAAAGAAGAATTGAAAAAACACAAATGTATCAAGATTAAACTGTTCACGGAAAACCATCCCCACAATATGAGAGTTATAAGAGGTAAGACTGAGAGAAGATGAACAAGACAGCAAGAGTTCAACGTGGTTCTTCGTTGCCTTGAAAAATGACTAGATCTTGACTTGATCTTGTTAAGAGAACAGAAACATCATATTTTCATACACTTTATTCAGTAACGCAGCTGACCAAATCTGTTAAGATATTAACACATGCAAAATATATGTCCTCGGCCAACTCATTGTCATTCGTGATACTGTAACTGTTGATTCACTTGCGGCATCTATTTTTTAAAACCAAGACATGATAATAAGCACAAATATAGGACACACAGTAGGACAATTTATGAAAGTAGACTCACTCCTGTGGGGCTGTACTCCATTGTCGCACCACAGCCTGAGCCACTGCCTGTTCCACAAACATGATGCGCATTACATAGTGACGAGATAGCTCCGGCAGATCCCTGAATAGGAAGAGTAATTCAAGTATAGACACAGATACAGGCAACAGACATTAATAATGATAACCTTCAATTTAACATTTTTGAATTTTATTCCCAATTACAAACTGAAAATGCACAGATTATTAATTAAAAAGTACCCTCCTCCTGGACTTGCAAGTCTTGTAAAGTACAAAACAAAAACAATTATAACAAATAACATCCACAAACCCCACACCCAACAAGTGTAGAGTCTTTGCCAGATGCCAATTAGTGGTATCAATTTTGATACCTCGAAATTTGTTTTTATGGCATTCTCCAGGTTTTGGCCCCAAGAGTATTGGAATATCGATACTGTCTTAAATACTCGGTATTGATGTTTTAATCTGAAAAAAAAGAGTGACTAGAGAGAGAGAGAGAGAGAAGAAGAGTGGCGAGAACTTCCGGGCAAAGCAAAACGGCAACCCATGTAGTTCGTCTCAATTCGAAAAGTGAAATAGCCGTAGCATAGATCTTTGTAGACGACCAAATTACTTTACTTTTATGCCATAATTTTTATGCTATTTAAAATACTGGAAAAGCTAGACATAGAGATGGAAAAGATAGAATCTAAGAATTATCAGAAATTTGTACTGGGACCAAAAGGCTGCTGAACGAATCAATGGAGAATACAGTGAATATATGCAGATTAGGCGAGGAGTGAGGCAAGGATGTGTGTATGTCACCAGACGTCTTTAACATGTACAATGAAACAATCCTTAGAAACATAGAAGAAAGTTGTTCAGGCCTCAAAGTAGCTTTTTTGAGAGCATCTGAGCAAAGGAATGAATGGAAAACCATGATCGCCGATGTCTGTCGCAGATCTGGCACTGGATGATGATTATGCCATAAAACATCATTTTTTTCTTTGTTTTTGTCAATTTGATCATCCACACCGATAGAACACAGTCGAACCTGCCTTAACGGAATCTCCCCGCTGCCCCCTTGATATATATATACTCCTCTTAATTACTTGTACATAACGGAAACCTGTCCAACGCGGAAACGAAAAAAAAAAATCCACTCCCTTCCGAGGATTTCACTTGTCTAAGACGGAAAATGCTTCGCCCGCTCAGCCCTGATTTGAAACTAAACTCGAAAATTTGGTTCCGCCGGATCTAAACTTAACATATGGCCGTGCCGCTGGGCGAGGAAGGGTAGTAGGGGTGCAATTTGGGGGTAGATGATATCCCATCATGTGAGCCCTGGGCGATGCAGATGGTCAGTGTAGTGTGGGTGTGAAATCTCATGACTGCCCGTAAGAGTGCTTGAGTAGCGAGCCACTACGGAAACTTTCATGGGTAGCCAGAATCCAGAAGTGTGAAATTAGATTGACTAATGCCTGCAGCCCTGATCGTACAGCCAGCCGAGAAAAAAGTTCCTCGAATCGTTGTTACAATATGATGGCAGTGAGGGGTGGCATTGGTGGGTGGAGCTACGCCACGGCTAAGAGTGGAAGCAAAGGAGATGTTCAAACGTTTCTGATTTTAACAGGTCAAACAGTGGTCCTATGAAAGGCAAGCACTGGTTGTAATTGGATAAGTAAGACTGACGCATGTCACATTATCAGATAGGATAGTAATTGAGAGGTGTGAAGTTTTGACCACTGCTTGCTGATCGGGTCAAGACTAAGTCTAGATCTAGTCAAGAGATCATTGATCCCAGCGCCTGGGTCCCCCTTTCCATCTCCCCCTAAAGTCCCCTGTCCAAGACGGAAAATGTCTAAGACGGAATTTTTTCTGGTTGCCTTGCAATTCCGTCTTACACAGGTCCGACTTCATTCAGAAATTAGGTAAAACAGGTCTTGTATTGTATGTTTGTTTGTGTTCCACACTGGGTGAGAACAGCCAAGAGGCCAAGGCTGGCAAGTCTCACCCAGGGTGAGGATAGCCACTACGCTAGTAATATGCACTCACCTAAAAACAGCCAGACAAGTCGCAGGGTGACAGTAAAGGTGATCTAAAACTGTAGGAGGTAGTGTCCGTAAAAAGGAATGCAAATCTTTGCAAGCAAGCTTTTTAGCTTTTGTAGCAATGGTAGTAGCCATTTTGTCTGACGGCCAGGTATGTTTACATTTAAAGAAACACGACAGTTGCTGTACACAACAAAAAGAAATCGAGACCTGAATTGATATTTGAAAAGAGGTAATAAAATGGGCACAGTATTTATGAATGAATTATTTGGTACAATTCTGAGACATTTATAAAGTTCGGTGAACGAGAAATAATCTCAGTTGCAAAATTTGCTGTTCCTGTTGGCTAATGTGAAACTCTTAAGAGGCAGGTCAATTGGAATTTAGCATTCACATAGATTACAGTTTGTAACATGAAGAAATATTTCACAGAGGCAATCGCAGATCATGTGATACTTTTCACGTGACCATCCAGAATACTGAGGTTTTCAGTCACACGATTCGTGTTTCTTTTCTCGCGAAAGGGGGTTCCAAGAAACTAGATCTAGCTAGATCTTTTTTTTTACTGTCTGCTGAGATCCATACAGAGACCAAGACGGTGCATTCCTCTGTCACAGGGATCACGACCAAGACACTCCTGGCTGAGCTCTACATTAGATATACTCTACGAAACTGCAGTGTCAAGCATTCGCTAACGATTAAAATTTTGAAAGCAGTTTCATTTGTAATTTGTCTTTTTCTGGACACACCCCCACACAGCAAACAAGTTTTCCGAAGTCAGCGCTACAGTTAAAATCCCAAACTGAAGATGGCTTCAGGCAAAGCAGAGTAAGATTTTTAAAAGAATTAGATCTAAGATCTAGATTTAGATGTAGAGAATCTAGTAGTGTTGTATTTTGAGATTTGTTTTTTTGTCACCTGAGATTTCCAAGGTGATCACTTTCTTTTGTTTTTTAAATTGAAATTCAGCTGTTTCATTGTGAGGGCAAAGTTCAAGATAGAAGTATCAAGGGAAGGTTTTAAAACTTATTTGCTTTGTATGTCATTTGTTCTTCTCAGACCAGCATTTTGCAGAGGGGATCATACTCTGAAAGTTCCAATGGAGTTGTTCCAGCAGAATCGTCAGAGACTGTGTGAACGGCTTCGAGCCAACAAGAACATTCCTAAAGGTGCTATCGTCGTGCTCCAGAGTGGAGTCTCAGAGACTCGCAACGACTCAGACAATGAGCCCCTCTTTAGACAGGTGACTTCCCCTGTGACTCTGCAACGGGAGGAGTTCCGTAGAGGGCTGGCACTTTCTGTGACAAGTTCCACAGCAAACTATAACAAGAGTTAGGGTTAAGTAATTAATACCTCACTCAAAATATCCCCTCTTTTGTGTGTTATTGGTCGGCCGGCCCTCTGCGGAACTACTTTCTCCGTAAAACTATGCTTTGTCAACCATTATAAAAAGATAATTTACAGTCTTTTTCATAATATTACAAACTGAGGTGTTAAAAAGAGTTATTTTAATATGACTGGACTAAAGTGTATGCTTTTGAACAACTTCTTTACCCTTATCTTTTTCTTTGATTTAGAGAGCAAAGGATTTGCATAATTTGGTGCTCCTTTCAGTTGATGGGAGAAGATACCAGTAACTCTCATTTAAAATTTGGTTCTCACTGTTTTGAATATTGTTGTAAGTAATGTTGGTGCTGTGTCATCAGAAGACAATTTTGCGTACACAGCTGAAAGAGTGTGAGGATTAAAAGAGTGAAAGCACAGTGGAATTCAGTTATAACAAGAGGAAAGGGACTGGTGTGAAATATCCGTTTTTATGGCAGGATTCTCATTATAAGGGATCCAGATAAATTCAAGGGAAATAATAAAGTATAAAGTCGGCCTTATCTATGAGTTTGATGTTCTGTTTATTTCTTTTTGTATCTCTCGTGATGATGATTTTGTTCATCATGACCTCAAGGTCTTACTTGATTAAAAATCTAATCCGGCTTTCTCTAGTGCTAGCGATGTTGACATCTCAGCTTTGGCGATCAGAAAGAAAGGGCTCGAGGCTATCTCGCCCGCTGTGTTGTCCCCCACCCCACCATGCCCTGTTTTGTGTTCCGTCTGCTTGCACACAAGGGTACACACCACACCCTGCCCATGTCACACATCGCTCCATACATCACAGCACTGTGACCTTTCCATCCCCGCGTCGGAAAAGTGAGAGGCGTGGTAGGCCTAGTTCTAGACTTGGCTGGTCTATTGAACAATGAGAGTATGGTTAAATTTTGTCTGTGTGCCTGTATTTATGCTTGTTAATGTAAAGTTGTAGTGCTTTGATTTCAATTTTTGTCATAGTGGGCAGATGGTCACATACTTCTTGTGATACAGCAGAATTTTCTTATAATATCGGCTGCTGCTGTAAAATTATCCTTTTGTCGTCTTGTTCAGTCAGATGAGTACTCTCTAGTCCTTTGCTTATTTCCCCTTAGCAAATGCTTGGGTACGCATTTAAGATTTATTGGTATTTTCTATCTCTTGATAGACTTGAGTTGATAAAAAAACTTTCTCACTTTGGCACTGTGTATGTATTTCAGGAGTCGTACTTTCACTGGACATTTGGCGTTGAAGAGCCAGATTTTTATGGGGCTGTGGAAGTGGACACTGGCAGGTCCATCCTGTTTCCTCCAAACCTCCCAGATGCTTATGCTGTCTGGATGGGCAGGTATGGTTATGGTTTAAGTCACTTTCAGCGGAGAAAGGTTATTAGCTGTTCAGCTTTTAAACTCTTTCTCTACCAGGGGATGTGTTTTCACCTGGACCGGGCCCTGCCTGTGACCTACTTTCTGATTCTGCCTATCGTTCTATCGTTGGACAAATAAAGATTTTTAGTTCAATTTTCAATATTAGCCACATGTATTATATGAAAATAAAGGGGAAATAATTACCTTTCTCAACTTGTTTCTAAAAATAATCATTCTTCAGCCTGAGATTTCAGATTCTATTATTACTAAAGTAGGTGTGGTTTTGAAGCAGGAAGTGGCGTGTCATGAAGCACGGCTCGCGGTAGTGAAAGTGAAAGAGTTATGTTTTTAGTTTTTGTAAAAGTTTTTCGGTACTTACAACACAAATAGGTCATACAAGTGACGAAGATTAGAGGTGTTACTAGAGAGTGATATCAATAGAAAAGAAGATAGATGTTTTATAGGACAGAAGGAGATAACCGCACCAGAGCACCTGCCAACCACACCAGAGCACCTGCCAACCACCCACTGTACAATTTTGATAGTACCAGTAGTAGTCTACAAAAGGAAATGCTGTGTAAACTAAACTACTCACACAAACCAAAACTCATAAATATGCTTTTGGGGAGTTAAACCAAGGTTGCCTGCATGAATCAGTATAAGTTTAGATTCATATACTGTGTTTTTGAAAACATAAAATCACAAAGGAGTAATGTTTATGCTTCTGTTTTTACCAGGAGATGTGAAAGCTTGAAATTAGATGAAGTAATATTCTCCTTTACACAGACTATATTTGTTTTTCCAAATCAGCCAACAATGTGTGGAGTTTGCTTAAACTGAACATAGTTTTGAAATCTGAAAACTGTGGTAAATCCAAAAGAAAATAGACTCCCTGATTTTTTTCTTCACTATTTGAGCATTCTCTCCAAAGAGAAAACATGGATAAACGGAAGAAAATCCAGCAATACTCCTGATTTCAGTTTATGAGGACTCCACTGTATTTCAATGTTTGTTGAACAACACAGCTGTAGGGGACATCATTTTGATTCAGCCTTCAATGAAGCCGAAACAAAAGCTCTGCATTTACTCGATAGACTTCAATAGAGAGTCTTCTCTTTTCTTGTTGTATGTTTTAGTAGGCCCATATGAAAGCCAAAACCTTGCAGGTAGGATTTTGGCTTTTTTTCATATAAACATTAATATTCAGATCATTTCTATAGTGCCGACTTCTGTACAACACTGCTCTAGGCGCTTTACAATACCTTCATCGTTACAAAGTCATGGGTCTCAAAATTCCGATTTCCGCTACCGCCATGTCCTCCGCTAAACTTCGCAACTGCGAAAGCGGGTCAATCAGAAAAAGAGTTGCTGTGAGCAGAGTGACTGCCAGGCCTCAGAAATTACCCGGAAATTTGAAAAAAAAAAATCGCCGAGACGCGGGAAAGTACATAAAAGATCTCAAATATAATTTGAAAAACAAATCCCATAACGTCTTTAAGTTCAGTTTTGCCGGTCGCGATTGTGATGTTAATTCGGCTTTTCCTGGTGTGAGAGTACGTTTCACGCGAACAGGCAGCTATGGCGGCAAGCGGAATTGTATGTGACACGGAGGCTCGACCGGAAAACCAAGATCTCAGAAATTAAATAGTCAGTAAAAGTCTGAATACGCAACATTTATAGCATGCAGGTTCTGCATTACAAACGTGGTGTCGCCATGAAAATAATGTTCATCATTGTGCTGTCGCTTGTGGGGGGAAAAAAAAGAAAAGAAAGTTATACAAGCGTCTTGTCGGGCTCGTCATTGTGACTGGTCAATGAACCTGCGCACGTTCTGAGCGCTGTGAAGTACAGGACTCCGGAATGGGGGGAGATTCTTGATTTTTAATTTAAAAAAGATACACTCGGGGATAGGGGGAGGGCTGGACGCAACACCAGAGGACAAAAAAAGAAAAGAAATTGGAAGCAAATTTTAATATTTAGAATTTTGATTACTACTACAGCTCTCTGCAAAGTAAAGTCATTACTACTTGTAAGCGTGTTAATGAACTTAGTGCACGGGCCTAAGTGTTCGCGTTTCATTGGATGGGTGACAGTAAATTATGTCTCTATATTTAATCTTTTTGTTCAAGATTCGCAGGTTTTCAGTGTCACTGTATCTTGCCCTCCCACAGTTCTTACACCTCTCACACTGAATAGGTTTACTTGAGCTATTCAAGTTATTACTCTACTTTGAGTTTGAGCATTAATTTTGTCTTTCACGTTTATTATATGAATCATTACACCCAGACTTGTTCATGACAGTCGATATTCTGGTTTTAGGCCTTTTCCCAGGCTCAAAACAAGATTCATTTTTATATAGTTTATATAGGCGAATATGATGAAGGTAAAATATAAATGTCACACAAGACCACAGTGCGCCTCCACTTTCTGTATGTAATCAAGATTGTAAATATTTGGTAAGTGACCCTTACTTGAAATTATCTTGCAAACCCTCAAACTGGTATGAAATAACCTTGCTTTGATAAATTGATGGTTTTTATTTCAACATTCTAGGGTCCAACAGTATAATAATAGTGGGTGTCTCCCGAAAATGGGCTTCTGTCGCGATCACGCGGAAAGTTCCTCCTTTTTAAAAATTCTGAGTTGAGACCCATGAAAATGCAAGTGAATGAACGTGCATACGTGCACTCTTTAGATTAACGTTAACACATACGCAGACGTACATTTTATCACTACAAAATCATATGATCACAGGACAATCAATGACAATATGCACTTCACATTATGAACAAGTTGGGGAAAAGTTATACTCTTTGTCTGGTTTGTATTAAAATTATGGCTTTTTCTCTTCCTCACAGGCTCTTGACAAGGGACGACTTCAAACGACTGTACGCTGTGGATGAGGTGGTCTTTTCTGACAAGGTGAGGCCTTCAGTTTTATTTGTCTCCAAGTGCTTTTGTCTTATGTTAATTTTGTTCTTCATTGTTCTCTTGTCCAGTGGCAGAAAAAAAATGAGAAGCATCGTGGTGAAATCAGGCGCTCTTCAAAATAATGAAATCGAAGAAACCAGTATTTTTTTCAATGGTTTGGCAAGTTTTATCCAATTTTTGCTTTTTGACACAAAATGTTTTACGTCCATTAAGAAAACCCATTTATGTGTGTATTTTACTGAAAAATGTTGATTAAAGGCACACATAATGTAAGTTTTCAGTTTCCATGGACTTTCAAGTTATGGAAATCCCCAAACTTTGGCTGCCGTTTTCTTGCTAATTTTAGCTCTGAAACCAACGACCCCCACCTCCTTCAATCGCAAGTGTCTCAACCTCTTTTCAAGATAGATGGGCATTTTTTTCATTGAAAGCAAGGCAAATGAACATGCTTTATGATGATACCAATAACTCCAAATGCTCCAAAATTGACAAGCACACTGATTCCACAGCATCATGACACAAATATTTCTGACTGATATTATTCTTCCTTGTTTTGTCATCAAAGGTACTATTATCCTGGAATGCATGGCATACAAATTTAGGACCAGCTTTTTAATTCTGTGAAGTTTTCGTAAGAATTGCATAAATATTTTTTTATATTGCGTTGTTTTTCACTTTCTATAAAATCATTCTTGTCATATGTCATGGTGAAATCAGGCGCTCGTCGAAACAATGAAGTCAAAGTAACAGGCGTTTGTCTGGTGGTCTGGCAATTTTAAAAAAATTTTCTTTGTTAGGGGTCAACACCTTACATCCATTTAAAGACATATATATTCCTTTTGTGGATTTTACTGAACAAAGACATAATGAATTGAAATTTGCAGTTTCTATGGAAGTCACCAAACTTTGTGGCGGTCATTTTTTTCACTAATTTTATTTTTCGTCTGACACCAAGCGACACCCTCATCGTTCAATCACAAATATCTCGACTTCTATTCAATATGGATGAGTAAATTGTTTGTCAAAATCAAGGCCAATGAACAAGCTTTAAAATGATACCAATAACTCCATATGTCCAAAAAATTGTTGAGCGCCTGATTCCACCGTGTTGTGACACATTTCTTATAAGCGACATAATAGATTTTGGAGAATTTATATTTTTCCCAAATTATTCCTTCTCTGTTGATGTTGTTCCAAGCCTTAAGATGGGATCCACAAGAAAAGAGAAAGAGAGGAAGGCGTAAAAGTACTTGAAGGAGGGACTAAGATTCGGACCTAATGGAGATGGGATACAGCTGGACGGAGGTGGAGACTATATCCCAGGACAGAAGTAGATGGAGAGCCCTTGTTGGTGGCTGTTACGGGGTGAGGAAGAGTGATGATGGTGATGATTGATGTTACTGGTACATAAAGGCTTTTATTTAATGATTATTTATGGTAATCTGAAATTTTCCAAGTGATTCAGACGCTTGATGATCTTGTAATTGTTGAGATCAGTATGTGTTGAGTAAAACTTAATGATGTTTCTTATCTGTGTCTCTTTCCACTCTACAGATGGCTGAGGCTTTGAAGGAGAAAAGTCCTTCTGTTTTGTTGACTTTGGTAAGTTGCGGAGTGTGTACTTGTTCTGTTATCTGTGTGAATGTGCATGGGTCTCTGTGTTTATATGCTTTGCTTGTTATCTGCTGACTTAATGCTTGTGGCTGGTCATAAATGTTGCCGTCGGCGGTTGACGGATGCTCTGGTGTGGTTTGCTCCTTCTTTCGTATTAAACATCTATCGTCTTTATCTCCCCTCCTTCTTTTTTGTATTTGTTACTCCTTTGTAAGACCTCTAATCTTCAGTGCTTATATGTACTTATTGTGTTGCAAGTGCTGTAAAACTTTTACGAAAAAAATACCAAATGTTGCCTTTCTTTCTTTCTTTCTTTTTCTTCCATTCATTCTTTCTTTCTTTCTAAACAAGTTTCTTTTTTTTCTTCTCTGTGACGCTTTTATGTGTAATTAAGTATGCATATTTTTATAAAGCCTTTCTTTCTTTCTTTCTTTCTCCCTTTACATTGTCTCTGTATTCTTTTTTCTTAATTTTTAATTATAGTAATAAGTAAATGACCATCAATCAGGAATTTGTAACATAATCCCTTTCCCAACCCCTCGACCAAAACAAAGAAACAGACAAATAAACAGACAAACCAAAGCAACAACAGACACAAATACTTATATTATATTTCTAAATGTCTGATGTTTTACCTTGACAGTATGGCCTGAACACTGACAGCGGCAAGTACAGTCGGGAGGCTGTGTTTGAAGGCATTGCCAAGTGAGTAAGGATGAGGACAGGCTCGGATGTCACTGCTGTTTTGTTCTCAGTGCTTTTGTTCAGTGTTTATAGATTTCTCTATCACTGTTCTGAGACGATTTAAAAGAGATAAGGTCCTGGTCGTTTATTTGAAACTAATTGTTGTATGCATTTGCTTTAAGATCTGAAAGGAAAGTTAACTAGACACATTCTATGTTTTATTGTTTATTAAATTCTTAGGTTTGGCGCTCATATGACCATATGCAGTTGCGAGCGCCGTAAAACCCTCTACTATAAAATTTTTAAAAAAATTCTTAGGTATCTGTCTTTTATGTATGGGGGGAGGGGGGGGCAATGTTGAAAGCTGGGCTATTTAAGAATTATTGTTAGCATGTGTCTACTTTGACTTTGCTTTGTACTCTCTTTTGAAGGCTTAATACTTGACACTGGATTGCTAGTCTGTGTTGTTTTTCATTTCAGTTTCACGGTCAATAATGAATGGTTGCACCCGGACATCACCGAATGGTGAGTGTGTTGAACAAATGTTTGTCAGAGAATTAAACTGTACAACCTTCCAGGGATGCAGATGATAATAATATAATGATTTGAAGTGGATTTGGCATTTTTTGTTGTCTTGATGGAAAGATCAAAAGATCTAGGACAGAAGCAGTCATCAAATGATTATATTTTGAAAGGCATTGTAATGTGATATTTGATTTTGATTTTGCTTTCAACTGTTTATCTTGTATGGTATTACTCTATTATAACCTATTTTATCAAGTTACTTCAGTCCTTATCTTCCTTATCTCCACCTCTCCTTTTTTGTGTTTTGTTACTCTGTTGTAATGCCTCTAATCTTTGGCACTTATATAACCCTCTTGTTTTGCAAGTGTCTTAAAACTCATGCTAACACAAGATACTTCAGATAATTGTAGATGGCGGTTGAAGGGCTTTTTTCATTTGCATAATGAAGCTTCTTATAGTTTTCTGTTTGTCATTTATTACTTGTGGTCTATGTTTAGGCTTGTGTCTGTGGTGTTACGGTTAGGCACTGCTATATCTTCAACCAGAAGACCTAAGAATGATTCCTTCTGTGGAGAGAATATTTATTGAGTATCTTGGTCTTTCTGGTGAGACGTATCCTTCTCAGCCCGAGTTGGCCTTGACAGACAGGGTCGAAGCCTGCCTCCGAAATGGTCTGTGTTGGGAGTTGGGACATTTAGAAAAACAAAGATTTGTCTTAGTTATGATTACTTTGGGGATATCGTCATTGCAGTTTTGCTGTCCACGTATGGAACAAACTTTGAAAACTCTGATCTTAAGACATTTGACCAAAGCACAATTTTAAAAATCGGCTCTCACATTTTATTTTGCATCAATAGTTCATGACGACTTAAATTCTAAAAGTCAATATTAGACGAATACAAAAGGTTTTTTTACATTTTCTGGAAAGTATCTGAATGGTTCATACGTGGATAGTGAAATGCACTAACAATATGTTGATCATCTATTTCCACAAATAATGTGATCGCTTTAGGTTTTAAAAATCTTTTTGGCAGTACTACAACTGAGATATTGTCCCTCTTCAATGCTTCTCATAAAAGTTCAGGTTCCCTCTGTCTCTGTTTCAATATTTTATTTTCTCTCCCCCTCTCCCACCCCCTTCTCTTTTATTCCGTACACTCATCAACTTATACCATCTTCCTTTTCTCACCAGCCGTGTGTTCAAGACTGACCTTGAGCTTCAATTGCTGCGATACTGCAACCGCATCAGCAGTGAGGCTCACATTGCGGTAAACTTGTTCCTTATTATAATGTCTCAAAACAATAATCCTTGATAAAAAGTTGTTTCACTGGCGATTCTCCAAAACAACGTTGGGATAAGCATGTACTACCCGAGTTGTTATTGGACCCCAAATTTCTTCACTTCGTAACTCCAGCAAGCCGCTCCCCTCAGTCCACGGTCAGAACCGCTGTGCCGGTGAGCCGCTGGCAGGGGCTTGGACACACTTCCTTTACGATGACTTTTGTGTCAAATTAGTTTTTGGCTATTGCTGAAAACAGGTCTCTTTTATAAAAAGTTAATTCATTAGATGAAGTACTATTGAATTGGGTTCACTTGTTTGGATTTAATGACCAATTTAGTGACGTATGTCACTATCAATTTTAGATTTCGTACCAAAAGAGGGCCCTAGCATAGTGGGTTTAGCCCTGTTGAAGATAAAGAGTTAAAGGCGTTTGCAGCACAGGTAATCACAAATTTGACCAATATTTGTCATTTTGAGGTTTGAATCCTTAATATTTCTCCTCTTTGCTGGCATGTTTCCTCTCTACAGTAGGACAAGTTAGGGGACCAAATGCTAAGTGTGTAGTAGAGATGGAAACTTTAGTGAACAACCTACACTATAATCAACTGTGAAATGATCAAGTGCTGATTTTTTCTGATATATCTGGAGTACCTGGAACCTCAGGTGTTCACGCTGTTAAAATCCTGTTGTAGTGATATATCATCGCTTTTGCTAAAAAAAACATGATGAACTCCATTTAACTGCTTTTTGCACAGAAAAGAAAGAGAACCATTGGAGTTACTAATATTTTGTTGTTGCAATATCAGTATATATGGGATGTTTATATTGTGTTCATTAGCTACAATGAATCTACTTTGTAAATGTAGCCCCCTCTATCACTGTGCTTTCATGGGCTGATATAGGTTGGTAAATAAAATACAAATTCTTATTGATGCCCATGTCAAGATTGGTTACCATGACAGGTACATTGCGTGCACTCTTTCAGTCGTTGACTTCTTTATCAGTAAGTCTGATCTCACTAACCGCTTTGCTAATAGAGCTTTGCCCTGGACAACTTAAATTAAAAGGTCTCAGCTTCTCCTCCTCTTCTACCCCCCCCCCCCCCCCCCCCCACGCCCAACCACCTCTAGAAATTAAAGTAAAAGTAAAGTTGTTCCCACGTCCGATCCAGACATTGGGGATTGCCTTGTTAGTGAGACTACTTCCTGGGCCTTCAGCATATTGTGGTAGGGTGGCCTTTTCCTTTCCACGCCGCCTTCACTTCCCCGACTCGAAGTCAGGAACTCATTATTGCTGTGTGGGCAGGAGGGATTGAAAAAAATATCTGTGTCCAAACCGAGGCTTGAACCCGGACTTTCCACTTAAGAGACGAGTGCACTAACCGCTCCACCACCACACTCTAGAAACTACATATCTATAATTTTAGTTATATTCCTATATGTAATAGCGTGTCCTTTCTTGGCCTTCACTTTCCTTGCCAGGTGATGAAAGCTGTACGCCCAGAAATGTTTGAATACCAAGCGGAGAGGTAAGCACCACTCTAGCATACCTGTAGGTTGTCCTACATGGTAGATTCCTTCTCTACTTCTGAGAATTACTGTCATGATCGGACCTTTGGCTTCATGAATTACTCAAATAATTGTGCAATCACTTCCTAGAATTACTTAAATAAATGGGAAATCACTTCCAATAATTATTTAGATAATTGGGAAATCACTTCCAAGAATAATTCAAATAATTGGGAAATCACTTACAAGAATTACTCAAACGTTGTGCAATCACTTCCAAGAATTGCTTAAATAATTGGGAAATCGCTTCCAAGAATTACTCAAACGTTGTGCAATCACTTCCAAGAATTGCTTAAATACATGGGAAATCACTTTCAAGAATCACTTAAATAATTGGGAAATCACTTCCAAGTATTACTGATACAATTGGACAACCAGTTCCCAAAACTACTATTATGATTTAGGCCTTGCTTACAAGAATTACTGTGATCATGAGACCATTGCTTCCATTTACTAATTCATTTATGCTGTGGAGCATGAATGTGTGCTTATTATTATTATTTGTTACTATTATTTTATTGTTATTATTGTCATGTTTATTATTATTATCATCATCACCATCATTATTATTGTTAATGTTTTTGTGGATGCATACGCTCTTGTCTTAAGAAAAGTTTCTCTACACAAACTACAAATACAAGCATTGTAAAAGCTGTACTCTTTGAGTAGACAGCACTGTCCTAGTCAAATGTGTCGCAGTGTGGTGGAGTTGGATGCTCATCCATTTTTGGACATATGGAGTTGTTGCTATTATATTAAAGCTTGTTAATTTTCTTGAATCTGGCGAAAAAATATTGATCTTTCTTGCGTAGAAGTTTGGATATGTGTGATTTAAGAGGGGGGGGGGGTACCTTTTGACAGATGAAATCTGTGAGAAAATCGTCTTCAAAGCTGGATACTCATACTTGGGCAACCAGATAACTTAGTTTTTGGCTTTTAACAACATTAATCAGTAAAATTCACTTGAAAACATGTTTTTTAATGGATGGAGATGACTTCTGTGAAAAAAAATAATAAATTGCCCAACAGTTGGGAAAATGCTTATTTTTCCTTTCCCTAAAATTTGATGGGCGCCAGATTCCATTGCAATGACCCACATGAACTCATACTGTATGTCTTTAGACCACTGAAACAGATGATAGTGACAGCTTCGATGGAGCTCTTCAATCTGTACCATGGAAGTGTTACTTTAGATTTATAAACAAATTGTAATGATGGATTATCTTCCCCTCTACCATCTGACCCTTATCTTGTGTCTTTTTCCTGGGGGTTGGTCCTACTTGTTTTCTGTCATTCAGCTGTCATGGTCTATCTATCTTGCATTTTTTCCTGCATTGAGTAGTCATTCCTCTGTCAATATGCTTCTCTTAACTCAAACTTTTCTTGTCTTTTTGAAGATTTGTTTATTGAAAATCTTTTTAAAAAAATAAAAGCTTAAGTTCTTATTATGATTGATGATAGTAGAACTAGATTTTGTGTAGGACTCTGAGGTAGCAATTTGATAAGTCATCTTCAGACTTGTCATGTCTCTCCATACTGCAATGTTGCCCCCCCCCTCCCCTTCCCTTTTTGCTCAAACCCTTACTGCCTGCTAACCCTTACTTCTGAAATCAAAGTCAAATACGCTTGAACTGATGCTGATGGAACTGCAGCTCTTTGCTATTTTGAGCCAGTTTTTTTTTCTTTTTGGTCTACTTTGAGCTTGTAAAGTTTTTCATGATGTTGGAAGCGTTTGACTTTTTCTAGAATATAAATTGTTCTGAGGTCTACTTTTGCTGTCGTCAACCTGCCACCTTTTCCATGCATGTACATAATTCTGAAAGAATTTCCCTAAATAGATAAAAAGTGTGGGGAATTTATCAAGACTCCTATTTTTTATTTTAATTTAAACTATGCCAATATATTCTAGCATTTACATAGCAAAATCGACGGAGCTCAGAAATCTTTTTCTTAGGTACAAATTGTATGTATTTTTTTAGAACACAAGTAATATACATGTATTATACAAAATTCGGGGCCTGAAAATCTGTTTGCTATGTGCGTGCTAGACTGTATGTTGTTAACACTGTGCAAATATTTGAGACTTTCAATAAGTCTTGAAATGTCCAACAATTTGATTTAGTTTTTGCTGAGATAAGATCATACTTTAAGTTCTTATGATTTTTTAAAGTTGTTTTTTAGTTTTTGTCTCCTCTGCTGGATTTTGCAAATGTTGCTCTAAGGCCACTTGACATTCTAAACAGTTTTATCATATATCCAAGGGTTTGAAAAAAATAAAATTTGTATAACAGATTCATAGTGTTTTGTAAGAAATGAAACATATTGGTTTAATGGACACGAGGAATGGAATTGGGGCAGCTTGTGCTTATATGGATAAATAGTGAATTTTTTTTAAATTAAAAAAATGCTTCATTTCATCCAAAGTTGTGGTAAATTTGGTAGTTAACTTTCTCGAAAAGTCTTTCAATGTGAAGTGTGCCGTTTTGACAATTGTAGAGATCAAACTATATTTTTTTAGGGGAACTTAGTTTTTGTTTCTTTTTAAAGTAAAAAAAATATATTTTTTCCTGCTTTGCTTTTGCTTTACTGGGTGAAAAAGATTTTCATGTGATCTCTTTCTGCTAGCCATTTGCCATTTTAAGCTTGATCTGCTTCACATGTTCATGCTTTTTTTTTCAATTTCTCTCTTTCCTCTCCTGTCCCCCTCTCTGCCCTCTTCTGTATCCTCTCTGCTCCCCCCCCCCCCCCACCCCTTAACATCCATTGACCCCTCTTTCCCGACTCCCTGATCCATCCCTTCTCCCTACCATCCTCCTCCTTCCCTTCTCCCTACCATCCTCCTCCTTCCCTTCTAACTTCTCCTTCTCCCCATCCCTTCCCTCCCACCCTCTTCCTGTCTCTTGTCCCCTCTCCACTCCTACCCCAACTCCCTGCCCTAATCCTCTAACTCCACCCCTGCCCCTGCTCCTCTCCCTACCCCACTCCACTCCATTCCACCCCCTTCCCACCCCTCCACTCTCTCTCTCTCTCTCTCTCTCTCTCTCTCTCTCTCTCTCTCTCTCTCTCCCTCTTCCTCTCCCTCTAACACACATCAACTCTTTCAGACGTCCCCAACTTCCATGGAGAATCAGCAGACGACATACCGGCCAGTTCCCGCGCAAACCGGGGACAGAAGACATCCGCGGCCAGGTGGCGCCAAAGCCATCAAGGAGGAGAGAACTGGCGACTGCGGCAAGAACAAACACGGGCCTCACTTACCTCCCTG